CCAAACTACTCTGTTGTGGCCTCACCTTTCCAAGTTTTTTCAAGTGTTAGTCATTCTTTCCATATCTGACTCCAATTCTTGATGAAACGCGTTTTTGGTCTGCCTCTTTTCCTTTCGCCCTACCGATTTTAAATTATGGCTTACCTCATCATGTAGTTTGATGATTTCCGCAACGTATGTCTTATCCATCTCGTGTCTTTTTCTAATTTCCTCTTCAGCTGATTGCTCTGGTTCACTACATTCCCGAGATAGTTTCTTCGTTGTATCATAGAGTTGTCTCATACTTACTTCTCTTGCTGCTTTTTCCGCTGTCGTTGCTAGGTCTTCCATATATTTTCTCCTATCACCTATAATGCTCCTCTTCACTCGTTTGTTTGCTTCTGTGTATTCCACCTGTCCCTTGACTTTCTCGGATCTTGTTCGGCTGTGATTAATTACTGTCTTCTTGTCCCTCACTTCTTGAATCGCGCCAACAGTTCCGATGGATATCCATTCCTTTTGATGGTGCTTCTCGCGGCCACAGCACCTCCAGGTATGTTGAAGTTCATGCTTATTTGACCCCTACCCATTTTTTTCCATATCTTGTAAAGCTTCGAACCTGTTATTGAGAACTATCTTGAACTCATTGAGCTTGTCAGCATCTCGAAGGAAGGCTGCATTATATCTTTGTAATTCTGTTTATACAGTTGTTCAGTGCTTCTTCAGCTTCAGTTTTATCTTGATAATCACCGTGTGGTGATCTGAAACCATATCAGTTCTTTTCTTTGTGCTTTCGTTTTCTGTGGACCTTCTAAACTTTTTATTGACGCGAATGTGATCAATCTGGTTTCCTGCAGTGTGGTCCGGTGAAACTCATGTAATTTCATGTATGCCTTAATGCAGAAATATGGTGCCACCTATAGCCATTTTGTTGAATGCACATAAATTTGCGAATCCCTCACCATTCTCGTTTCCTCCCCTCAGTCCATTTAGTCCCATGATATCTTCATATCCGGTCTGTCGATTCTGATTTTGGTGTTTAGGTCTCTCACCAGGATGGGCAGGTCCACTCCTGGGCACTTTGTTACAATCGACTGCAGCCTCTCATAAAACTGATATCTTTCATCTCTATTGCTATCATTGGTGGGTGCATAGTACAAGGTATCATTGATCGTAATCTCCATCTTTTCTTTGAATATTCTGCAATCAGGAGATTCCCATCCTATAAGTGCATTACGTGCTTCTTTTGACAGCATCAGAGCAACTTCCTACGTATGTGGAGCATTTCCTTCATGACCAGTGTACAACAGTAGCGCTCCTGAAGCTAATCTTTTCTGTCTAGCTTTGGTTTTGTTATAATCTCTTTCTTACGGTTATGACCCAGCTATTCCTATTGCTTAGTATTCTTGGACACTAAATCACTCGACAAGACCCCAAATCAGAACACGGTTGAACAGGAAAGAGATTATATTCCAAATAACAAGGTTAGATGGAAGTAAGATGCAAGCACAATAGGGAAAAACGTCAGTATATTTATAGTTTTTACATGAGAAGATTCTAGAGTATTCTCCAACTATCGACTGGTGCTCATTGGATAAGAATTAGCCAATCAGCGTGCCCCAAAGAAGTCGTGCATTGAGCATGCTTTAATCTAGTCTATGTCCCGCTAACAGGTTTAATGGGTTTAACTTATCCCAAGCACCACCAGGTTATTTTTTTTCTGCACCTCTCACATAGTGCGGATATTCTATGTACCTGTGTTAATTATTGCTCTGGTTGTCAGAAGAGGCATCGACCTCGTGATTTTTGAAAAATCTCAACTTTCACCTTGAGACATCATAATTCTTAAAAATGAAGACCCGTTAACACTCAGGACAGATTTCAAATGATTTAAATAATTTTTTGGTTGGCGTCTTTTTAGCAAGGTTGCTTCTTACAGGATGGGGTTGCTAACCAAATGCCCAACCCTCCTCCTCTATCCCAGGTTCAGACCAGCAGTAGACCTAGATGGGCTACAGGTAGAGCTATTGTTATAGTAACAGTAAAATAAAGAAAAATATATTGTCACCTTTAAGCCTGAACTGAATTTAACATGTTTTGAACTAGTTCACAAGTGGACTTCCAAAATACCTATAATCACAACTTAAATACGTTGTACTGGGGAAATAACCAAGCATCCAACCACAAGAACGCAACTGTTAAGCTTGATGAAAATCCATTTATCGTTAATGATACAATGGTATAACATTGGGTCTTATTTGACTTACACTGCTATATACTAGTGATTTATCAGAAGGGTTTTGTCGATATTATAGTAGCTTCAATTGACTCATGATCTCAACCATTGAAATTATTGATTTATCGTTGATAGGGTAGGATCTATGATTAAAACGAATTCATTTTTAATAAACAAAGTTTTTAAGAGTATTTTAAAATAGATGGGTTGTGGTTGCTAGTGGAATGCAGGACGCATTTGACCGCTCAACATTTTGTTCAGTGAGTCAGCATTCAACGGTCTATATTTCTAACTTCAATTGATTAGCGTTATTGAGCAATTATCTTCGAATACCATTGGTAGGTAAGTACCTCCTGTACAGCATAGTTGAACAATGACCACAGCTTCGCCAACAGAACCCTGAGGATTACCTTTGGAAATCAGCCACTAGTTAGTACATGGTTTCTATTAATGTCAGGTGTTTGTTTTGCTTTCAAGTAGTCAACTAGTAATCAACTGAATAATTCATTTTTGCCATGAAAAATCACCGTAAAACGAACCTTAAGAAGTGTGGTTGGGCACTGCTGACGAGTCTTACACTAGGACGAAATGGATGCTGAATGATTCTTTGTTTCCAGCGCTTATTTAACTAGGGTCGATTCGCAATTTAAACAATGAAACTCAACAATCTACGCAAGCCTCTTAAGCCAATAAAGAACATAATTCGGAAAGAAACCCCCTTCATCTTCACCTGAACGAACACCAGTTAGCAACCAAACACCATGACATATCCTCGCTTATATCGATGCATGTGGACAACTTTGGGTGTACCCCACGCTGGAAAAATGTTAATGTCTTAGATAGAGGGATTATAAAAGGCACCAGGGAATTTTCAGAAGCTCGGGATTCAGATCGATCAGCAGTCAACAAACACATCAAAATCGACCCAATCTATCAAATAATCAGGAAAATCAGGGACAAAGAATCAGATCAACGAGAGATACCATCGAGGTAAAGAGGTAAACAATGATAGGTTAAAGACCAACAAAAGCCAGTCAAGATCGAGGTCGACGGAACAAGCTGTGAGCGTAGAAATTCGAACAATTCACTTCTAACCGACATTTGTGGTGATGTTCAGAAGAACAATGAAAACTGTATGACCAAGCCATTCAGCTCAGAGAACAAAATTCCACCTAAATAAACCTAAAGTACCCAACAGTAACCTATGTGCAGCACTCTTAGTTAATGATAGGCAGATGGATATCATATCTGCACCACAAGTTGAAAAAGGTTTATCAGGCTTTATGAATCTCCATCAAGATGTCATCAGCAACCGACTTAACAAGGATGATGCAACTTTAACATTAACACGTCAGACTTTACTCTATACGACTAGACTAGTCGGTAAATTTGAAGTATACTGGTGAACAACCTTAAGGTCATAATCCGTTTTGCCACTCATGAGACAGAAAAGGTAAGTGGACGACTTACAGTCCTAGGACACACGATTAGGATAAGGATTTCAGGATTCTTACATAAAAAATAATGTTAGTTCGTCATGGAAATCCCAACCCTGATTCCCAACACAAACTTCTAACCCTATTTTGATATTTGTGTAATAGCTTTGAAGCTGCTTTCTCCATCCTCATTGGTATGGCAGTATACTTTGGGGTTAACCAAATAGTCATGGATACGGATTAGTTCTGAAACGACATTTTAGATTTAGATGATGAGGGCCTCATCTTAAACATTTTTGTGTTATCGCTCAAGATATTCAGAAGACTATATTTTCCTCAGAATCTTTATCAAACACTTCTGTGTCATCTGAATACTTCAAATCACTTAAAGGAACTCCAGGTAAAAGAATAATCCTTTAGAAGTCAAACAATAAAAAATTTACTTCTAAGGGTATACCTACAGTGAAATTGAATAATAATGAATAAAGACGTCTTTAATTCTCGTAGAAATCCCATCACTACTTGTCCTGAAGATAATTCTCAGGTTGCTTTACCAACTAATGAGAAAACTTGACCTCAGTGAATTCAAACAAATAATACTGTGTCCTAAGAAACTTATCTGATATAATGTAGTCACTTAAACAGATTATTTAACAAACCACAATGTTTCCCAGTAAAGTTAAATGATGCGTTAGCTATCTAATTTGTAATGAGTACTTCGGGTCTACCCAATTAATTGTACGTTACATGAAGATGGGATTCGACTGTGATTTAAGTGCATGAGTAGCATTAGAAGTATGGTGAATGTCAGTTCCCAATTGCCCACATTGTGGAAAGATACTTATTCTTTAAGGGACTGAAAAAGAAACTGAGTAAGAAGTAACCCTAAAGCCCTGGGGACAGCTCCTTAAAACCACACTTAGTTGGTTTGCCAGTATTTTTCATATGTTGGCTGCATATCTTTCAGGCCTGACCAGTAGTAATGGACACCTATGAAACAAGATGAGATGTGCCATTTGACGGGTCGTCCTTTTCTAACCACACTATTTCGTTGCAAGAACGAAATATCACTGTCGATGCTGGTTATTTTGTGTTAATACCTTACTTCTATCAAATTGCTGTACAACCATCAGTATTCACTTTGCCCTCTGACTTTGAGCTAGCTGCTTTTAGTTTTATTATTCTCCAACCAACCTACATGGTGTGGCAGGACCTGAACAAACAAGTGTTCCAATTAATATAGTACAATTGGGTTATCACGAAATACAAGGCCAGCCACCCCGCCAAGGTTGTACGCCACACAAATATAGCTAATTCAACGAACAACAAAGATTCCACAATTACATTTTAGAAAAGTTTTTTATTATACACAATGTACGGTTTGAAAAGTCTCTATATGTCATTAAACTATTTAAAATAATTTTAAAAATAATGCAATTTCTGATTTTTCTCAGAAAAATTACAACAGGATGGAGACAAGGAACACTTAATAGGAGAGGAATGTGAAATGATTGCGCGATTGCTTCTTTCCAAATACGAGTTTATTTAATAGGATGAAGACTATGTTAAAACATACACGTTATTTTCAGTTTAAATACAATCCAAGTTAGTAAACAGCAAATAATAACACAGTCATACGGTTGTAAAAAGAAAAACAAACACATGAGGTAATGTTTGTTTGTGTCGATGTTTTATATGATAACTTTGTAATAAACATACAAAAACCGAACAAATGCTTGAATGGAAAGTATTAACAAGATGACAAAAAGGCAGGCAAGAGAAAAGATTTGGAATATAAGCAGTTTCCTCTTTTTTTTATATATTCAATTTTCTAAGCATCTTTAGAATTAAATTTATCTTCACTTGATGCAACACTATCTGAACGATTTGAACTTAGAATTTCTGTATTAAGATTATTTAATTCGTGAATAACTGGAGTATTTGATCGACTGAATGACAATTTCTTAATTTTGGATCCTAAACGGTGAAATGATGATCCTACTGAAGTAATTAATGTATCAGGATGTAAATGTGGACTCTGTTGATCAGGTGTTAAAGAGTGCAGTGAAGGAGAAAAATTTAAATTACCTTCTTTTGTAGCTTCAGCTACTTCCAATGATCCAATAAAAGCTGTATGTGACGGTTTACGTTGACGAGTAGGTGGTAATTCAGGCCAAGGTGATTCATTATCCATAGGTGATTCAAAAGTATGAGGTGTTGATAGATCATTTTCATCATACGAATAAGGTGACAGAAAACTGCCTCTTCGACTAACACCACCTTTTGACTTTGTACTAATTCTCCTTTGACGACTACCAGGGATATTAAGTCGACTATAATAATCTGAATCACTGACAGCAGTACCATCAGTATGATCATCATCATCAGTTTCAATATCGATTTTACAACCAGATTTAACTAATTCGGGAATTAAATTCGAATCGGAAATACATGTATCTACAAAATATAAACTTGTATTTAAATTCCTTTCCAACAATGGAACAACTTCAAAATCATCATCATCTAAACCGAACGGTGAAACAAGTGACTCAGCTACCTTAAGCCAGCCATTGTAAAAAATAAAAGAAAGAATTGTGAATACTGGAATATTTGGTAATACTCTAGGAAATGATAAACCACTATTGATATTTGTATTATTGGCAGGATTGTTGAGAATAACACTGCTGACATCATTATTATTGCTGACAGATGTTAAATTAGATGAATTGACTCTGGTTGGCATATGCGGTAGGATTGAAGGGGCATCAATAAACTGATGACCGAAAATTGTAACAGCAAAGTAAATGTACACAGCCAGCGCTACAACCTGTGAAAAATGGAAGTGAAAATCCGCAAAATCTACAAATTAATGTTAAACCATGAGTTTACTCTCAAATAAGAATATTAGTTAAAAAAAAATAAACAACCAATACCAACATAATTTTATGGTTTGTATCATGAACTGCTCTTAGATAACCATTGAAAACCGAAAAGCAATCGACAACTGTTTCGTCCTAGCATATGAACTCTCAGCAGTGAGCATTTACAACCCAAACAACGATTGAACCCAGAACCTTTAGGTCTCGTGGTGAGCACTTAACCCTTAGACCATTTGGTCGGCAATCGATTATTTTCATTATTAAATTTAGTCAATGCGCAATATAATTTTCCTCACTATTTGCATCTAACACGATCTGTACATTATGAAACATATGACAAAAGCCATCTACTCAGTGTAAGAAGACATAGATTGGTAAAGTTTGGGAAGTATACATAGCGTACATAAGTTAATATATCATATAAAACTTAATGACAAATATCTCCTGTATCAGAATATCAACGATTCAGTAGGGTTAGTAATAAATGAGAAGAATACATTATTACATTAATCTTGAAGTTAAAAACTTATCACAACTTTAAATATTTGTTCGAACAATTGAAAAACAGTGAAAAGATAACATAATCTCTAGAGTTAACAGTAATACATCCGTCTGATGGCTCAAGAACGAATATAATGAGCAGAAGTTTGCCTTCCTTGATTTAATGCCTGCAAGAAGGAGCCTTTAAAAATGGAGGGTATTTGTAGATCACTAGTATTCCACTGTAGGTATCTTTGAAGCATCGCTCGTATATAATGGTACCATAGAGTTGGTAATTCTGGGGTTAGACGCAGGCTACCATGTAACGATGGAAACTGATAAGTGAGGTAGTGAATCGTCATTGACTGAGGTAGTCAGGACATGTATTACATATACCCGATCACCGCCTACCTCGATTGGAGATGGTGGTTTGTTTAGGGGTAAGTTGGAGGAGAGCTGGGAAGCTAGAATAAAAGGTGGCATCAGTCTACGAAGTTGGAATGATACGTGTAAGTAAGTGCAGACTACTTAAAGGAGATCAGTGGTTGGAAACTTTGGGTGACATGACTTAAAACCATTTGTAATTGTACAGGTACATTCACTCTCGGTCTTTCCTGAGATCCTAAGTTTTTTTTATTAGCTTAAAAGCTTCTTTCTTTTTATTCTAAGGATACACAATTTCTTCTAGAGTTATTTGGTCTATGTCAAATGTTTTCTACCGCCACTAATAGTATTACTAATTATTCTACTCTGGCATCTCGCTAACCTGGTTTGGCAACTTGAACCGATGCACATATGTGCTAGGTTTTACGTCAGATATGACTGAATGACTAACTTTTCAAAGAATCGATATTTTCTAATGAGTTAACCCTTTATTATAACAAAGTTAGAATACAGTATGATCTGTAGATATCCATATAGTAACTTAACTTGGTCAGTTCTTCTTTCAAACAACTTACCAAAACCTTTTGGTCTACGAAACATTCGAAGTGTCTAAAGAGTATAAATTCTGGCATTACAAGTTATACAGGACTATGCACAACCAACCTTATAGACTAATCTGATTTATAGCTAATAAATACATAAGCAGTTGGTACTGGGTCGTTCGCATTTCATGTTTATATCCCCTTTCGTTTTATTTCCAAAAGTTAAATTTGCAGAGTATAACAACTTTTGATCCTAAACATAATTAAAATTCACTTAAACTATTACTCAATAGATCTTCGTTCCTTACTGACTTTCCATTCGCCTTTATGTAGTATTATATGTAAATCTATATAAGCTTTCACATAAAATCATGTTTGTTCTAATAATGATCAGTCGTACTGCATATGATATTTCCTTTCTAGCAACTGAATTTTGAAGAATTTCTATAAAGTTGATAAGCCGTTATTGTCATCCAATCAGTTAGTCATAATCGACGTACAAAGTGAAACATGTGTATCCAATTGAATCGCTAAGCAACAACTTACCTCACCAAAGCAAAATGAAAGTAACTGGATAAATGACAGAATAGCTAACATGATAGTTGCGCCGATTATAACAAAAAATTCTAAACTTTAGAGAGCATGATTCGAAATGAGTTTGCAGAATAAAAAACGAGACATGACATTGAAACTTAAGATTTAAGGAAAGATAATGAGTGGATGCATTTGTTTAACCGGGTTCGATTTTAAACTAGGTCACCTAAAAATATGAAACAATCAATCACGATTATTCCATGGATCCAAATCAGGTTGTCTACAACTATCAACACAGTCCCAGTACCCATTCTCGACGATAAACTATTGAAAATAGTTGAGAGATTTGTGTATTTCGGTAGATCCATGGATGGTGGTAACAAATAAAGTCACAGATATACAATATGGGTTACCTTTGTTGCTGTCCTGATATTATTTTGGTTGATAAATTTCGATTGTTCAACACTGCCTAGCGCCACAGATTAAACTTCAATCTCTTAAGACCTAACCTCTGCACATTAAGTTTTCGATTGATATGTTTGACTGATATTGGTGTGATAGCACCTCTCGTTCGGTGGTAACATTACATAATTATTAAAGACTCAGTGATTAACAAAATGGATACTGCCACAAATGCGTGTTAGACAAATTTTTCATGCATCACCATGACGAGATAAAATTAAAGAAATGAGCACCGAAAAATAAGAAATAATAGTGACCATAATGATAGTGAGAAAAAAATAAACATTAGAGAATATGGTTTGAAAAGAAGAGAAGAAAAAACATGAAGTGAGAAATAATACTGTAGATCGAGACCTATAGGTAAATAAAGAGTGAATGCATTTGCACTAATGTAACCAACATTGGACCATGTTACTCAACATCAACTGACGTTATTATCCTGGGCATCTGACTCTGTAGACCGAAAGTTTCTGAGGCAGTGTCTGTCATTGAAAGGCGTACCTCAAAAGTACATAAACCTTGTGAACACTCTTTACTCAAACACTAACAGTCGAGTCAGAACTTATGGCGAACTGTCATCTGCTTTCGCAACCACAAGTGATGTCCGTCAAGGCTGTCCACTTTCTCCATTTTTGTTTAACTTCATCATAGACCTATTGATGGAAATAACATTCTCGTCTACTGAATTCTCGGGTATTGATCTCCTTCCAGAAGGTCCACTTATCAACTTAGAATACGCAGATAATATAGTTCTGTTTGGTGAAGACGCTGATAAAATGCAGTCTTTTGGTAGCACTCAGCAACAATGCCAGGATATTTGGGATGTGTTTCTACCCCTCTAAATGCAAGTAGTTGCTTCAGGACTGGTCTGCATCAGCACCTGAACTAAGGATAGGGAGTGAAGTGGTCGAACGCGTAGACAACACTTATCTTGGAAGTCTGATCAGCCCTAATGGGTTGGTGTCTGACGAAATCTCAGCACGGATTCGAAAAGCTCGTTCGGCTTTTGCCGACTTACGTCACCTATGGCGAAGGCGAGATATCTGTCTATCAATTAAGGGACGGGTATACTGCGCAGCAGTTCGTTTTATTCTACTTTACGGCTGCGAAACGTGGCCACTAAGAATAGAAGATACTCGTAAGTTACTAATATTTGATCACAGATGTCTTAGAAATATTGCTCGTATCTGCTGGGATCACCGGGTAAGTAATAGTGAGATTAGACAGACACAGGGTACTAGGGAATGATGGTAAATCAGTTGGAGGTTGTGTATCTTCATCGACTAAAGTAGTTGGGTCACGTGTTACGTATGCCTGAACACCGATTACCACGGCGTGCAATGTTGACTAGTGTCGGAGACGGTTGGGAGAAAGTTAGGGGCGGCCATACCAAAATGTGGCATCAGTCCATAAAGTCATAAACTTCTAGTCTAAGCCATGTTGTAGATGCAGACTACGTGGTTGGGGTCCGTGCGACTATCGTAAACAATTGCTGGAAACTCTGGGTGATATGGCTCAGAATCGATCACAATGGCGTAGGTGTATACACTGCTTGTCTTCCCTTAAATCGTGAGATTAAAATTACTTTATACCATTCTTTCTACCAACTAATTCTTTCTTCCTGTATTATATCCTTATATACAATCTTTCTTTTATACATTACTACCATTGAAGTAACTAATTCTATGAATTCGGTGATCATCTTGTTGTGCTAATGAGGCAACTTGGACCGATTCATATATGTTCCTGGTCCTACGTTGTAACTGGCTGACTATCCTGGCCAAAACCAGCTGGTCTAGATTTACCTACACAAGTCAGTTCAATAACCGATTCCATTTCTTTATTTGGCCGTTCCTAGCTTTCTTACAACTTATTCCTCATCCAGTCAACGCTGTTTAATGACAAACACTACTATAAAATCGCTCGGTGTACGGGGTTGAATGCTCTCTCCAAATAATTACGAGCTTTACGAAGAATATTTAGGAAAAAACACCGCAACTCAACTAGTACATTTAACTTAAAGTGTGATTTTTATGGCTTCATTAAGTTTTAATAATAATAAGTAAATACTAAAATGGGTAAGCAAAAACCACAGAGATCAATAGATGTAACGGGTACTAAAAATGACTTGGAAATGTAACTTTATTAAACAGTAATAAGAAGCCCTATGAATAAAAAAATATTTCTTAGATATTTTTCGCTTTAACTAGAATCTTCATTATTATTATTATTATTATTATTATTATTATTATTATTATTATTATTATTGTACCCGATTTCCTTATAAGTGTTATTTCACTACTTTAAGGACATCTGTTTATGGTGTATAAATCCTTCGATTAAATGTGACAATTTAGTACACTAATTTTTACTTCGTTTCTGAGTTGTCTACCATTTCAGGCTTTATATGTGTGAAGCCGTAACCTATGAATTTTAAACAATGGTTCATAAGTTAAAAGTCCACCCTACCTACTTTTGTTTAGGAAGTCAAGAAGTATTATTAACTCACATATAAGCAGTTTGACTTAAAGGTAGAGACCCACTAT